GGCTGTTGTAAATAATACTGCTATGAGCGTAGGGGTACATTTGTCTTTTTGAATTATAGTTTTGCTTGGATATATGCCCAGGAGTGGAATGACTGGATTATATGGTAGTTCAGATTTTAGTTTTTTGAGAAACCTCCATACTGTTCTCCATAGTGGCTGTACCAGTTTATATTCCCACCAAGAATTGTAAGAGGATTCCCTTTTCTCCAGACCCTCTCTAGCATTCATTATTTCTAGAATTTAATGATGGCATTCTGACTGGTGTGAGGTGGTACGTCATTGTAGTTTGATTTGCATCAGGATGTAACTTTCATGTCCCCTGGGAAAGCAAACAGTTCATGTGACTCATTTTACCGTAATATTTGCTTTATCATGGTGGGTCTGGAATTGAACCCTCAGAATCTCTGAGGTGTGCCTGTATTGGGTGGGGTAAAAAGAAAACTTCAATTTAGAAGCACAAAAATTATTTGGATGGATAGACATGGTTGTGGGGGTGGTGAACGTAGGGTGAGGAGGCTGCAGAGGCGCTGGAAGGCTTCTGGAGGGAGGGCGTGTGGTCTGTGCCCACCGTCAGTCTTTTGTTTCACCAGGTGACCGTGGTCCGGAACTTGGAGGCCTATGGCCTGGACCCGTGCTTGGTGGCTGCCACCCTTCAGCAGCGCTGCCAGGCTAGCACCACCGTCACTGCTGCCCCGGGGCTCAAGGACAGCCTGCAGGTTCAGATCCAGGGCAACCAGATCCACCACCTTGGCCGGCTGTTGCTGGGTGAGCATCCCCCAGATGAAGCAGAGACGTCAGTCTCACTAGGCAAAGGTCTTCCTACCAACTAAAGTCACTCTATTGAGTTTACCATAAACATAGCTTTTAGCAGCCAGCGAGAGGTGGAACTAATGTTTGCCCTTTATCTTTTAGCCCCCAAATTCAATGTTTTATCCACCATCCTAGTGGAGAAATTTTCTTTCTGGTTTTCCTTCTTTATAAAACATTGGTTGAGCACCCAAGCTTTGCTAGGCACTTTGCTGGGCTTTTTCCAGGCTTGATGCTGAAGAACCGTTTCTGTTTTGCAGATGAGGAAACAGGTTCAGTACTTTGTACTGAGATAATTCAACTGTTCAGTGCTGTAGTTGGGCTCCGAACCTTGATTTGCAGAATGAACTCTTTAAGTTCACTAAACAAGACCCATCCAGTCCAGCCCCATCTTCCCTCCACCTTCTCTGGCAGGTCCCTGACTCCCAGGCCAGGCCTCAGCCCTGCTGGTCTCCTGGCTGTTCCCTGCGTGCACCCCCACGTTCACCCCTGGCTGCTTCCCTCCGTGTAGTCCCCTAACCTTGAATGGCCTCTTGCAGCCTTAGAGGCTCGTTGGCCCAGCTCAGGGGCCACAGGAAGCCTGTCTTAGAACATGTCCCATTTTTTAAATTTTTGTTTCCTTAAATTGACATTTAAAAAACTGCTAACATGGCACTTTCCAATTGTGTTTATATTCTGATTAGTGTCTATAACTGGGTTCATTTATTCTGTGTCTGAACTCCCTGTTAGAATGAGCATCTTGAATCACAGACCTTACCTTTTTCATGCCCAAGGTCTGGCGCATAGTAAATGCTCAATAAGCAAGGTTACTTTATGGTCTCAGGCTGTACCCAGCAGTTGACTTAGAACTGCACCCCTTTAAGTGAAGAGCTCCATGTGAAATACAGAGGGAAAAAGATAAACACATAACTGCACTCAGACACATGCATTCTCCCTTACGAAAAAATTACAAGTGCCTGAAGTACACTTAGAAAGTAGTTATCAGCAAGAAAGTTGCTGGAGACTCAGCCTCGAGGTATGAGGATGTATGGTCCACCCTGCAGGGGTTGCGTGTGAGCTGGGTGTAGAAGAGCAGGTCACGTGATGGAAACGGTTTGAGCTGAGGCTCGAAGGCGGGAGTGAACAGAGTGGGGCGGGAGGGCCAGGAGGCGGCTGTGCAGCTGCGGACCTCGGCGTGCATGTTGGGTTGCTTCCGTCATATTCCACTCTGTGCGACCCATTGGATGGTAAGCCACCAGGCTCCTCCGTCCACAGACTTCTCCAGGCAAGAATACTGGAGTGGGTTGCCACGTCCTTCCCCAGGGGATCTTTCAAGCCCAGGGATCGAACCTGCATCTCTTACGTCTCCTGCGCTGGCAGGCGGATTCCTTACCGCTTGTGCCACCCCGGGACCTTGGCGGTCGGGGCAGAGGAGGGTCACTGTAGACAGTGGGACGGGGCGGGCGGGGAGAGCATGCACAAGCCTCACTGAGGAGTCTCTGCCTTTCGGATTGCAGAAGAGTATCGGCTGCCTCGAAAACACATCCAAGGCCTGGAGAAGGCCCCGAAGCCTGGCAAGAAGAAATGACAGACTTTTGTTTCATGTGGTTGATCCGGTGGAAATCCAGGCTCTGGGCTGGTAATTTATATGAGTATTTTCTGTTTTTGCAAACTAAAAAATATATATATATAATTCTTTACCAAAATAAATTTTTATTCTAATCTGAATTTGATTCCCTTTTGTTTCTTCCACTTAGTAAACTGTTGTACTAAGTTTCCAGGTTCAGAGCCGTTTGAAAGGAGCCCTGGAGGCCGTGGAGGCTGCTCTTCCCGTTCACGTGGTTTCGATCATTGGTGTGAGCCCAGCCAGAGCTCAGGCGGGGGGAGCCTGCCTGTTTTAAAGTCCTTCTACCCAATAGTCAATAACCTCTTGCTATACTTGCTACCTAATTAACCTCCTAGCCCCCAAATCACTCCTTCAAATATCTAAAGGGCTATTTATATGTTTATATTTGTCATCATTCAGAAGAAGGAACGGTTATCTCTGCCTTGAGCAAAGTTTAGGCTAGACCAGAAATAAACAAAGAAAGCACATTAGGACATGGGTTTCTGTACAACAGTAATTTTTCCTCAGCGTTGACAACTGCCACTAACAGCTGTAAGTTGTGATGTGGCTACAGGTTAGATGACTTTGCTACAGTGAAGAGTCTTAACCAGCTAATGCTTTCTTTACCCTCAAACTTCTTCACCTGGGGCTCATGGACAAGGTCTTCCGAGGGCCCACGGAGTTCTCTGAAATAGTGCGTAAGATTCTGTGTGGCCGTTTTCCTAAGAGAGGTTATCGTGCTTTTGTTCAGTTCAGCCGGATCACGTGAAAAGATTCAGACCCTGGCTATGGTCCCTGCTCAGTCTGGGGCAGTCATGTCTGCACCAGAGGCCTCCTTGTGCGATAGGGAGGAGAAGGGCTGAACCAAATCACTGCAGAGTTACCTGCTTTTTACCATCAAAAAAATAAAATTACACTTCGGTTTGCTTTTTTACTTGCTCATCTAGTTTTTTTTTTAAAACCAAGATAAAGACTTGAAAATACCCACAATATTCACAAATTCCCCACCTGGGGCTTGAATAAGAAAAGGATGAATATAAAAATGTGTATGAGGTCCCTTGCCTTTTGTTAGGAGGCTCTGAATGACTGGCCTTTTCACTGCTGACTCGCTGTGAGTAAACTGCGTCACTGTACTGACCTGCTGTGTTAACATGAGCACATGAAACTGAGAAAGAGGTTTCTAGAAATTGACCCCAAACAAGATTCTGTTACAGCAGAGCCCTTGGTCATGCACGGTTTGATCTGAGGGCGATAGAGTAGTCGTGAGATACGGTCCTCATAATCAGTGCAGATGACACATAGAAAACACGAGGTGGTGGTTTGGTCGCTCAGTCGTGTCCGTCTCTTGCGACCCCATGGACTGAAGCCCGCCAGGCTTCTCTGTCCATAAGATTCTCCAGGCAAGAGTCCTGGAGTGGGTCATTTCCTTCTCCCAAGAAAACACACAGTGCTTTATACAGTTCTTTCACAGACATAATTTGTTTAGCACAACCTTGGAGGGACTGGAGGCTCAGAGTTGTGTCCTGCCTTGCTTACCCCTCCTAAAGACACAAGCCAATGAATGGTGAGGCTAGGTCTGCAATGAACATCCACGCTTCAGGTTTGACCCAGAATTCTGCTGTGACACAGTGCTGTCAAGACGTGCTTCAGATGGTTTTTCCAGTAATGGTGACACATTTTGCATTGATTCATCTTCCCTTTTCTCCTCATGAATACCATAGGTTCATGGGAGGAGGCAAGGGCGTGTTAGGCTGTGCAAGGGATTCCTTTTTCTATGTGCTAAGCCAAATAATCTACATCACGGTCAAATGTGCAGCTTTGAACTTAATCGCACATTGTAACCAAATGAGTTTCAGTGAAATGCAAAAACTGGTTCATTTCTGGGTTTTGGCAAAATTATTGAAAGATATACCTCTTGGAGCGAGCAAATGTTACAGCTGTATCCCATTCCTGAACACTTTTAAGAATGTCTCTTGGACAGGGGTGCTCTCCTAGAGGGAGGTCAGGGGTAGACTGGATGAACTGAGGGCCCTCATTGATTGCACTGTGTGTGATCAATACTGGAAGGCAGGCGAGAATTCCTTTTTAATGACTTTTATATGGTTATCACCACGATTACTGAGATATTCCTTTGATGGACATCAGAGCTAAGGTGAAAGGACTGTCTTAGTCATCTAGCCCTTTCCTCCGGGTGAGATGATCGCAAACGTTCAAAGACTCCTTCCTATCCGATTTTAAAATAATTCCAGAAATAGAAGAATCATTGCTTAACTCAGTAGCCTGTTCTGGTGTTTAATCATCCTTAGCTCCAGAGAATCACCGCCCCCCACCCCTCCTCAAAGTGCTCTTTCTGTAGTGAGTCCCTCTGCTTTCCTGTCTGTGGGGACGGAGAATAACCCGTCACCGTGGCAGCGCCTCCAGCCCGTGCCTCTGGAAGATGTTCTCAGGATGCCTTCATGCCTCTGTCTGTTGGCAAAAGAAAATCTGACTTGGCCTTGAAGTGTGGGAGTTCCTCTGACCCCACCCCTCTCCCGGCTCCACCATTTCCAAGAGATTTCCCAGATTTCCCGGAGAGGGGGAGGTTCAAGGAACGCATCTCTCGCCTGAATCGTTTTTGCAACAAGCTTTTATTACTTTTTTTTAAAACCCATATAAGAAAGACATTTCAAAAGAAAGCCTCAGAACACACATTGGACAACACAACGGCAGAAGGCACTCCAGCAGTCACACCCGCCCTGGGCAGGAAGGGGCACTCACTACTCACTGCTGTTTCCGAGGCTCGGACCCCAGCCCGGGTCCCTGGTCTAACTGTGCTTTCGATAAGGTCTGAATTTTCCCAGTTTTCTTATTTCATAAACACCCCATATCTTTATATATAGCTATATGCCTTTATGTATATATGTACAGGACTTCTTTATCTTCTCAAAAATAAAACGGCCACCCCTTCCGAGGGGGGTCTCAGCAGCATTCACAGCGGTTGCAGCAGCGTGCCTTCTGTCGTATTACAGACATGCAGCGTGGAGGAGAGGGCGCTGCGCCCGCCTGCAGCAGGGAGGGGATTTTAAGGGAGGGAAGTGATAAGGCTGAGCAGGAGATGGCAGATAATGGGGGTTTTTATGATGGAAAACATCTTTTTGAGCTGCTTAGCTCATCCTGTTTTTGCAGCTCTGAAGACCAAGAAGTTTGCATGATGAAGGTTCTGCATTCCTTCTAGGATCAGGGGTGAGGTGGACTCAGGGAGGGAACTTGTGCGGCTACACAAAGCATGGGCTTGAACTGACCCAAGGACTTGGGAAGGCAGAGAACAGCGAAGACATGGGTCTCTTAGAGGCAGGATTGGAAAACCGGCCCCGCTTTGAAAGTTCAAGTCCTCCCTCTGCCCTGGAGTGTCTCTGCAGTCCTGGTTCCTGGCTTGAATTGCTTGGCTGGTTTTAAGTTTGACCCTAAGCAAGGAGCCAGTACAGATGCAGACGTCGGGAATCCGACAGGGTGAATCTGATCCGCCCTGTCCAGGCGGTTTGACCTCACTTCTAAGAAGTCAGGGCCCAGGACCTTAGACGCGCAGAAGCTCTGAGACCCTCACCCCATGCTTGGGGGGCAGGCTCCCCTGTCCTTGTCTCTCACACAGCCGTGCTCCACTTCCTGGCAGGAGCAAGCCAGCAGCAGAGCCTCAAGCAAAGGCCGGGGTTCCTGACCCTCTCTGAAAACAAAAAGGCACGAGGTCAGCAGGAGGCCAGCCCCACGGTGGACAGTGCTTCAGACCACGAAGGAGTCCCAAGTCGGCTGAGTTGGGGGGGCCCCCCTCCGTAATCAAGGCAGCTCCTCCGGCAGCACCTGGAGATCCCAGAGTCCAGAGGGAGGGGGGAGGCGGTCCTGGAGGCCGAAGGGGAACCGAGGCAGCCAGGCCCGTGGCCACTAGTTGGGGAGGCCTGAAGACAGCCTGGACTCGTTTACCTGCAACACGTTTTGGCTTCGACTGTCTGAATTGCGCACTCAGCAGGAGACTTTAAAAATAGTTAAATGGCTGGTTTCCCCTTAGTGGAAACGGTGAGGATGAGGGCAACATTAAAGTCAAAATTGCAACTTAAAAACAGAGTTGAGGAAGATGTGGCTGAAGACCACACACACACAGATATAAATGCCTTTGGGTTTACACGTGTACAGACTCTTGGGCCATCAGGGCCAGGGCAGCTGCAGCTTCTCTGGAAATTGCTCAGGCAGCCTCAGCTTTGGTGCTTCTGACCTGAGCCTCTGGGGCCAGAAGCTTTATGACCATCCCTTACCTGTGAGCAACGGGCACCTGAGGATGGTGGGGGAAAATTCTTTTTTTAAAAAAATATTTATTTATTTGACTGCACAGGGTCTTAGTTGTAGCACGCGGGATGTTTTAGTTGAGGCATGTGGGATCTAGTTCCCCGACTGGGGATCGAACCTGGGCCCTGTGCATTGGGAGCTCGGAGTCTTAGCCACTGGATCACAAGGGAAGTCCCGGGACAATTCTATGAGCATTGTCCTGTTTCAGGGGCTTAGCTCAGACCTGCTAAAGGAATATGCTACAGTTCTGGACTCATAAATAAAGGAACTGTGGATGGCAAATAAGAAACAAATTGAAGAAGACTAAAGGCCAGAGAAAGAACACATGTCTCTAAACCCCTTTTCTTTCCTTTGCCAGCTGGTGTAGGGAGAGGCAGCTATTTGGTCTGCGGAAGGCTTGCAGATGGCGAGACGAGGCGGCCGGTCTTACGCGCGCGCGCGCTGCTCTGGGGCGGTGTGCAGAGGCACAGATGGCAGCGGGCAGGCCCCATGCCTGCATGCACATGCGGCCGCCAGAGGCGTCATGCCACATCCGGAGCTGATGGGCGGGCACAGATGCACCCACCAGACGTGTCCTGAGAAAGTGTCTGTTGCAAAATAATAATTAATAATAAAAATTAAATCCGCGGGCTTTCAGGAGAAGGAGAGGCCGGACTGGCTAGGCAGGTTTGCCCTGGGATTTTCTTAAGGCTTCCTCCAGTTTCTGCCTAAACTTGTTGTACTTCTTCTGCACTTGTTGGACTTTGTCCTGCTCCTCTTTCTCCAGGATCGTTAGGAAGTTCTGGAGCTCAGGGATGGAGAAGGCGTCCCACTGGGTGGCAAGAGGGAGATTGGGGAAGAGAAAGAACAGGAGACAGGAGACAGGTTAGACATCGCATGACGGAGGGGCCCTGCCAGCTCCCCCTTCACACCACTTGCTACGGAATAGGCAGGTGTGATGAACACAGCTTGAGGTCTCCATGCTGTATCAGCAACAGGATTTCAAATCCTGGCATCTCGTGGCCAAGAGTTAGACCATAAGCCCTATTTTGATAGGTTTATGCCGTATTTTATTGACTGAAACCATATTTATTGGAGAATCAAAAATCTTAAATTTCTCGGTAGCAGCTGAGATCGTAACCGTGATGCTGGAGCTCCCTGAGACCCTGGTGACCACCTGGAGCTGCCTGCTTTGGGGCTGACCAGCAATGGGTCCCCCAGCATGCAGCCCCCGGAGTGACATCTGGAGGAGAGCTGGGCTTGGACTCAGGAGACTGGGCGTCAGCCTGGCCCTGCCATGCGACCCTGAGCACAGAACTCCACCCTTCTCAGCTGTTTCCTCATCTGCTGTGGAATTAGGGTGTCCACCTCCCGCGGCTGGCAGCGCAGATAATGAAATGAGTCACTTGCACAGCTCTGCAGGGCCTGGTGGGCTGGGCCTGGCCGGTGGGACCTGGTCTCTCAGGACAGCAGGCAAGTCCGGCCTCTCCCAGCTGACCCTGGGACTGAGGCCCCCCAGGGGTCAGGGACTTGGACTCCCAAGCTCGTTGAGCACAGAGGAACATTAAGGTTTATCTGGTTTAACCCCCACACTGGGGAAATCAGAAAACTGAAGTCCACGGAGGGAACCACGATCACAGAGCTTACAGCCGCAAAACTTGGATGAGAAGCCAGGCCTCTAAACGCCAGGCCTGTGAGGTTCCCATGGGGCCAGCAACGTTCAAACAGTTTCTGTGGGACACTCTGTCCCAACAGGACCTCCCAGTCTATCAAAAGGAGGGAGAGCAGAGCTTCCTGGAGGAGGCGGGAAAAAGACAGGCCTAGATACCCCAAATTTCCACAGTGGCTCCCAAGACTGTTTCTGCAAACCCCAGGCCTGCACTGGGGGCAGTGTGACAAACTGCGAGATGCGCCTGCTGCGACCCCAGGCACCCCGGGACGCGGGGAGCAACTGCTGGGTTCACCCCACCCCACACTGCAGGCCGGGCGCTTCCCGTGGGGCAGCGAGGTCCGTTTTCAAGAACTAGGGAGAGACAACTGACTCAACAATACCCATGCCCGGGGGGAGCCCAGAGTTGGCGCTTGCTGAGCCTCAGGACATCCTCAGGAGCAAAACGCAGGGTGGAAGACAGGGAGGTTCTCAGCACCCCTCCCTGAGTGTTCAGAAATAGGCACATGGAATGCTGTCTTTCCACAGGCCTTGCCAGACACAGGCCCTGACCTGCTCCCCCAGAGCGCTTAAATCCTGACTTCAGTGCTGACCTTGGGCCACACTCGCCCCAGCTCAGCAGCCGCGCTGGGGGGTGAGGACCGCGCCTACCCGGCAAGCTGGGTCTGTGCAGCAGGCGGAGGCACCCAGACCTACCTCCACCTCTCCAGTTTCGTTCTCCTTCAGCACGAAGCTGAGGACGTCCGTGTCAGGCCCGGCAAGTAAGCGCAGGTAGAGGGGGCAGTCAGCGATGGAGAGTTTCTGGAACAGCACTGCAACATGTATATTATCATATGTGAAACAGATCACCAGCCCAGGTTGGATGCATGAGACAGGGTGCTCCGGGCTGGTGCACTGGGATGACCCTGAGGGATGGGATGGGGAGGGAGGTGGGAGGGGGGTTCAGGATGGGGGACACATGTGCATCCGTGGCGGATTCATGTCAGTGTATGGCAAAAACCACCACAATATTGTAAAGTAATTAGCCTCCAATTAAAATAAATAAATTTAAATTTAAAAAAAAACTACTCAGTCTACAAAGAGAACTATTTTTCTTCCTAGAGGAAGGAAAAATTCTTAACTGATGTAGGTTCAAAATAACAGTAAGACAAATAAACTCAAAAAACCACACACACACACACACAAAGAGCACTGCAGACCAAGAGAGGGGGCTGGACTCGCCTTGGAGTGAAAGGGTAGGGGCTCAGGATGGCTGGGACCGATTGGGATGCAGGGGTGTTTCTAGCCATGCTTTCAACCTAACAAAACGTGCCTGGCGGGAACAAAGGGTAACAACCAGTACCTTTGGTGTCTGCTAGGGTGGGAAGCCTGTTTCCACTCACGTCATCACCCCAAGGGTTCGAGGGAGTGGTCCCATTCCCCAGATTAGGAAGTGAACGCCCAGGGGTGGGTTTCCTGCAGCCACGTGTGAAGGGAGGGGCACGGTGGGTGGGCAGCAGACTTGATGCCACGCGGGAGGCTGGGCTCCGGCGCCACGAGACGCCTACCCCTCCCCCTAAGTGTGACCAGGCTCGCCCAGCCAGAGGCGGGAAGGGTTGTTTCTGGGGGGCGCGCGCTCTCTCCTACCCTGCCCATCCTTGTGCATCCGTTTAAAGAGCGCGAACTTCTGGGGATTGTCCACGACCATGAACTTCTTGAGCAGCCCTTGGATGACCTCGCTGACCGTGGTGGAGCTGCTGATGTGCAGCTGCTTGACGGCGTCGAGCGGCAGGTAGAAGGACGTGCGCTTGTCCGTGGTGGCCGCGGGGTCCACGTCCTTGATGGCGTCGTAGATGGACTGGGGCCGGATCCCGGCGGGCACCGTGACCGGCCTCCGCAGCTTCAGGTGCACCTTGATGAAGCCCGTGTAGCTGCCGTCCTCGCTCTGCGGGCGCAGGTTGGGCGCGGTCAGCGCCGGCCTGTCTCGCCGGATCGCCCACCCGCCACTGCAGCGGCCTGTCCTGACGCAGTGCCTTCCCAGCCACACCCGCACCACCCGCCTCCCTGAGATCCCTCCTGCCTCTGCTGACCTGGGGATGCTAGCAGGGCAGCAGCAGAAGGCCCGCAGGACCAGGCTACTGCTGCGGCTTCCCTTCCCCAGGGGCTCACGCTGCCTGCCCCAAATGCCCTGCCACCGGGCAGACGGGGCGATTGCCTCTGCTGAGTTCCCAGGCCAAGAGACAGGGTCTGGAGTGGCCTCTCTGGTCGTCCCCTCCAAACCAAGGAGGAGCAGGCAGGCTCTGTGATAAGATCCTCGGAGAACCAGGGCACTGAATTTCCTCCTCCATCCCTCTCTAAAACCCTCGAGACTTAAACCCCAGTCCCTCTGCAACTGGATTTTTCTGGCGTCCATCCGGCTGACGCCCCCAAAGAGCCAGTTGCCAGCAAACACCAGCAGGGGGCAGGGCTCCTCCAGCGTCTCCCCTGAAGACGGCCTTTCTGAACCAGCACGAAGCTGGCGCCTTCTCTCCTAGCCCTGCAGTCAGACAGGCTGCCCCAGGCACAGGCTGTGAGGACCAAGAAGGGGAGGAGGGCTGCCTGCTCCCCTTGCCTAGGGCTTCCTGGGCCCCTATCACCTGCGTATCATTTAATGCCTACGGGTGCTTTGGGCACTAACGTCTCTATTTTATACTGAGGCTCAGAGAGGTTAAGGTTTCCCAAAGCTTCAATTTAAAGAGCCAGAGACGCGATCTGGGTCTCATTCTATAGCCCAGTCTGTTTCCCCAGAGCACAGGCAGCCCAGGTTAGTGGCCTCACATAAGCCCAGAGGCTCCAGAGACCCAGAGAGGGGAGTGCCCTCCCGGGGAGGGGAGCCCCAGGATTCCGAGGGGGAAGAGGGGAGCCAAAGCGGAAGGGGCTGTGAGTGGGGGGGGGGCAGGGGCGGGGAGCAGGGCGGATGCTCACCAGCTTCATGCCCAGGCAGTCCTTCTCCCGGGCGTTGTAGCTCTCAATCTTCTGCTTGATCTCCTGTAGAGTGGGCGGGCGTGGAGGCTCCTCAGGAGGCTTACAGTCATTCTGGAAGAGACACAGACGTGAGGGTGGACACGTGCATCACACACGCTTCTCAGGATGAGAAAGGGAGTGACCACTTCTGCCCAAAGGCCTCTCCCACCAAGAGTAAGTGAGCACCAGTACCATCCAGTGAATGGGATGGACTCAGGCTGAGAACAATCGGAGGTCAAATGCCAGCTGTGATAACTGCCTGGCCGGCTACCCCGAGGAAGTGGCTGGAATCTTTCTTGGTGCCAATCTCCTTGCCTGTGAAGTGGGGGCAATACCCACCCTTCAGGCTTGTTGCAAGACCAATGTGAAAGGGCCTGGCACCCAGGCGGTGGGGGTATGAATCTCCTGAATGGGCAAAGCTGTTTTTCTCATTGAGGGCTGCTAAGGAAAGATGCATTCAGATGCTATGGGAGATGCAAAGAAATGCAAGCCATGGTCGTCTCCTCAAGGAAGTAACAATACAGCTGGAGAGAGGCATGCACACGTGGTCCCAGCGTATGCTGAAGGGGGTGACGGCAGCTCTCCCAGGCTGAGGGGGCCAAGGGCATACGGACATCAGCTCAGGCCCCAGGCCCCAGGGCTTTGCACACAAGTACATATATGTATGGGCTTCCCTGTGGCTCAGACAGTAAAGAGTCTGCCTGCAATGCAGGAGACCCGGGTTTGATCCCTGAGTTGGGAAGATCCGCTGGAGAAGGAAATGGCAACCCACTCAAGTATTCTTACCCGGGAAATCCCAGGGACAGAGGAGCCTGGTGGGCTACAGTCCATGGGGTTGCAAAGAGTCAGACATGACTGAGTGACTAATATACAAATGCACACACACACACACACACACGTACATATACACACATACACACATGCACACACACATACACAATACATACACACATATGCACATATTCACACACACACACACATGTATCTTTCAAACGAAGGCACGCCTGGTGGGAGCAGGGGGCTGCAGCCTTCTCTGAGAGCTGAGCGAATGACTCTCCGCTGGGGCACAGGGCTGGCCTGGGTTACTGAGAGCCTCTTCTGTGCCAAGTGCTCGCTATGCATTGTCTCAATTAGTCCTCAGAACCAAACTGCGAGATTGAGTTCACCCACATTTTATGGGTGAGACAACCAAGCCCAAGAGGAGCGTGCCTCCAGCCCTACAATCTGCAGAGCTAAAGGGACTCGTCTGTTCTGCTGCATTCTTCCCACAATAACACAACGGATTCTTCTGACTGCACCCCCTGCCCCAGACCCCCTCCAGGAAGAATGAAGCTGAGGAAGAGAAGGTCAGTGTCCTTCACACTGCGGAGACAGTCCAGGTGAGCATTCTGGGGTCTGAGCAACACTATCTGTCTGTCAGTTCCCCAACTTTCTCTCGAGTCCACTGCCACCCCCGCTTCCTGCTGTGTCTTCACGCTCTTCCCGTGAGGCTGAGCGTGTGGGAGCCAGTCTGCAGGAATAAACAGGTCGGTCAAAATCGGCTTAGAATTTGTCCGTCTCAGAAATCCAGTGGACCCCATGGCGGGTCAGGATTCTCCTTTGGCAAATGAGGAAACCGAGGCCCAGAGGGCGATCATTTCCTCCCAGCTGCCATCACGCAGCACCAACCTGCTGGCGTCTGTCTGCTTTGGCTGGGGAATTTCACAGCCACGCTGCCATCACAGCATCACCCAGCTGAACACGCCGGGTTCCAGGGGCAGAGCTGCCCGTCTCACCAGCCCGTGGGAGACCAGTCACACTTGGCAGGACTCCTTCACTTCCTCCTCTCACTTTCCAACCCCACAGGGCCAGTGAGACATCAAGCTTGGGCTGCCGAGGGGGGCTGGTGTGGCTCCCACACCCGGGCCTCCGCAGGGAGATGCACTGACACCCTTTTTCCATCACAGCATCTTCTGCGGGCCTGTCTGTTCCTCTCTGAGGATGCTGGTCAGAAGAGCACTGTATGTCCACACACAATCTCTTACACACTCAATGTGCTCTTCCTACTTTACAGGTTACAGACAGACGCTCAGACAGGTTGAGAAACACGTGTGTGGTCCCACTGCTAGTAAGCGTCTGCGCGGGCCCGTTACCCAGTCCGTCAAGTCTGCCCGATGATGCTCTTCTCACCGTGTGCTCACCCCAGGACAGCCCTCATCTGCCGCCCCCATGGTGATCATGGAAATTCCATGCTCCGAGGCTTGGACGAGCAGCCTCCTCACCAAGACCGATACATTACTGACCTGTGAGATGTTCATCTAAGGTGTGTCTGGTGGGTCCCCAGAAACCTCAGGACCTGGGGCCACCGTGTCACCTGTGAAGATGTCAAGGAGGGACTCCCGTCTCCCGGTGGGAGGCACCAGGATTCCAGAAAAGGGCTCACCCGTCTCCTATGTGGCCACTCAGACCCCTGGGACAGGACCCTGAGTCCACTGAGGACCATCCAGGAGGAGCAGTCCCCGGCGACTCCCTTCTGTTGGAGCGGAGCAGCAGCTGGTGTCAGCTGTACATCCGTCTTCATTCGCTGTCGACTTGCTCCCCCGGGACCCTCACAGTGAAGCATCTCATTCCTTGTCCCTCCCCGCTTAGTTCCTGGAGACCTCACCCCAGCCCCCAACCCGCTGGGCACCTCTCTACGGGACCAGGTGTGCCTGCTGCCCGCTGGGAGCTTCCAGTCAGAAAGGCCAGCATCCAGTTATTATTACACACGCTCCACTCCGTTCAGCTATGAAACATGCAGGCGCTTGTTCCTTAGGGCTTAACAGCCTTCTCAGGCTCCTCTACAAAAAAGAGTTAAGTGATGGAGAGAAAACTCTAGAAGCTCCTGGAAGATCTCTCGTGGTTTCTAAATGAGCTACAGCCATTTCCCAGTTAGAAAGGGCAGCTACATCATGGCTTTCAAAGGCGAGTATTCCAGACTGTTTTTGAACAGTAAGAGTCAGAGCGGCCTTAACCTAAAGATTTTCCTTCCTGTTCTCTTTCCCGTCAGCAGATAACCCATCCAGCCCCAGCTTCCCACCGCAAACCTGGGGAAGTGACGCAAGTGGCTGTGGGCACCCTCTGCAGGACTGACGCAGAAGATAGCCGCCCTGCTTCCCGCCCCGTCCAGGAGTGCCAGGAGCCCTGTCTGGCCAGCATGCTCAATCTCCCACAATCAGATGGCAGCACCCCCAGGCTGCTGCCCACCCCAGAGCTGGCAGACAAGATCTAACCCATGGACTGAATGAATCAGCTCCCGAAGCAGCCAGCCAGCCAGCCACCGCCAGGACTGTCAGCTCCCCTTCCCCATTCCAGAGAGGGCAGAAAGTCTAGACCAGTGCTTCTTAAACTTGGCTGCACGGGGACTCCTCCGGGGGAGCCTCAGAAACACAACACCTGGGCTCCCTCTTGGAGGTTCTGATTTCAGTGGCCTGGGGTGTGGCCTGGTGTGCAGCCTGGGCAGAAGGATTTTATTTTTTATTTATTTTTTTTTTTTTTTCAGAAGGATTTTAAAAATCTCCCGGGGATGCTAGCGGGCAGCAGTGTTGGAGAAGAACTCCCAGGCAATTTCAGGCCTGCAGGGTCCCCATCCAGCTGCAGGGTTAACACTTTGGCACCCACAGATATCCACTGCCCCCAGGGTTTACCAAGAAGGCAATATCCAGTGTCTGCAGTCTTCAGAGGGTAAGTCAAAGACCCCACTCTCTATTCACCTGCCGAATTCTCAGGTCCTCAAAGTGAAAGATTTGCCTCCATCTACGGCTACAAAGCTAGAAACCAGACAGATGGTTTTGTTTCCAGGGGTGGCCCAAGATGGAGACAGAATGGGAAATCGACTCTATTATGGTTTTAAAGATACAGGCATTGCCCCGGGAGGCGTCTCTCCTAGGAGGCTGACGTGTTTCGGTGTCTCTGGCATGGATGCTCTGATTAAGCTCCTGGCGTGGGTGGCAGATGGTTGAGCTGTTCCTAATGCATTCAGCACATCCAGGGCACTGGTGAAGGCAGATTTGTGTTCCTAGGTGCTAAGCCATGGAAAGGGTGGTGTCCTCTCTTAACTCTCAGGGTTACTGGGGTACAGCCAGGTGAAGAGGTGGGTGCTAGGCCTCAGAGTAGAGACACGTCCTGAAACAGTGATCCTCAAATTTTCAGTTTAAGTACCCATTACACCAAAAAAAGAGAGGACCAGCCTCTGGTGGTCTGGGGCCCATCTCAGAGCAGATTTACCCCAAGCTGAATTTTACTTTAAGAAAAAACCCAAACACTGGCTAATCTTGCATTTCAGTTAATGATATAAAGTCTTACTTTGGGTCACTGGGAAGTGACCCCGTGAGCTGAAAAGACTCTGAGTGAAGCTGGTGGCTTTAAGTCTCCCCCTGAGCACAGGGAACCCCACAAAGCCCCAGCAACGAGGGGCACCCCCAGAGTGAGGAGTGGGCTGAGGAGAATGTGCTGGAGCCGTCAGAGACATTCAGGGTCCCCCTTTTTTTTTCTGGACCTAAATCGCACAAACTACATTTTTTGCCAGAAATTTCACTTTCCCTGTTTTTAAACTCATCAGCCTCTTCTTGCACACTGCTTTCCCCATCTGACCCCTGTCTGTCTGAAGTCCCTTAGTCAAGGCCTCTCTGATCATCTCAGCCCTGAATGCTAACAGTGATGCCTTACCGTTATTTACTGGCTGGTCCTATGCAGGTACTGTTCTTCTCACTTAGCCTGTACTGTTGGCCGACTTCACTCCCACCAGAAGTTTATGAGAAATGTACAATTATCATGCTCATTTCACAGATGAGGAAACAGAGCCGCAGGAAGTTTAAAGCTAACCCGCATCCAAAGCTAACACTGCACTGTCCTGCACTTGGATCCCATCTCCTTCCATCTCCTTCCTCCGAGTAGACCACCCAGCGTGGCTTTCCTTTCCAGCCAGACTGAAGCTCCCTGATGGGCCACACCGCCCTGAGGCCTCTTCTCTGCAGGCGGCCCAGCGCACAAAACCGATCATAAATGTCCGCTCGAGAACCTGCAAGGGCCCCGTTCCTATGTGGGGAGCAACA